CTGGTTCATAGAAGGAGATGCAATTGTGAAGATAGGTGGGGCCTGAACCGTTTAGGAATTTATAGGTCATAACTTGCACCTTAAATTTGGCTCAGCAACTGATTGGCAGCCAATGAAGCGTTGTATGCTCCCTATAGTTTGCTCCAGTAAGGAGCCTGGCTGCTGCCCATTGTACCAATTGAAACTTCTAGTCTGTCTTCAAGGGCAGCCCCAAATACAGTGCCTTGCAATAGTCTAGTCTGGATGTAACTAAGGCGTGGCCAAGTCAGACTTCACAAGGTATGGTCACAGCTGGTGCACAAGTTTGAGTTGTGCAAAGGCCCTCCCGGCCACCGCTGACACCTGAGCATCAAGTGACAGCATTGAGTCCAGGAGGACCCCCAAGCTATGGACCTGCGCCTTCAGGGGGAGTGTAACCATCGAGCACAGGCTGCCACCCAATACACCTGTCAGCCCTGCCACTGACCAGGAGGACCTCTGTCTTGTCTGGATTAAGCTTCAACCTGATAGCCCTCATCCAGTCCATTACAGCTGTCAATCACTGGTTCAAGGTCTGGGAGGCTTCCTTGGATTTCGGTGGAAATGAGGAGTAGAGTTGGGTGTTGTTGTGACTCAGCTGGAACCACAGAATGTCTCTGATGAGGATGATGGGACTCAGGTTCACAGCCTGGCTGATAATGATAACGAGCAAGCAGGGAAACAAGCTGACACTAACAAACAGACTGACCTTGATGAAATGGGAACCTTAGATTGGGCTGACCATTTGGAATTCAGAGTTCGAAGGAGTGTGAGAATAGCTAACAGGAAGGAGGCCAGAGAAACGCCTTCATGTTTTGCAAAGGGTATTAAGCAGTGTGTTTGAGACCAAATCTTTGTTAAAGCAACTTTGCATTTTACCAAGAAACTTGCCTTTGCTTATATGGATTATCTTGCAGTCCTTGTGTTCATGTTTTTAGGATTTGTCATGTTTTCTTTCGAGTTTTTGTTTCGCTGGTGCCTTTTTGGATTAATCTTCAAAGTGCTTTTTTATATTGATCTTTTAAAACATTACCTTTGCTTTTAAAAACTTTTTACCTTTTATTTTTAATAAACTATAAAGACTTCCGGCTGTGTGCAGTTTGGTGTTTTTCAGAAAGGTGAATCTTCTCTGAGGTACGACAGGTGTCATCTGCATACAGTAGTAGAGTTGGGTGCCATCTGAGTGTGGACTCAGACAACCCAGTTCAATGTGGATATTGTGGAATTTTCTGCCTTATTTATTTATTGATTTATTTATCGTGTCATCAGCAACCATACCATTGTATTTCAATTCTAACAGAACAAAACAAACACACAGATTAAAAAGAAAAAGAAAAAAAACCACAGATTTTGCAAACTTGGTAGTTGGTTAAATGTCCTTTGACCAGTATCTGGCCACTTGGAGTGTTTCTGGTGTTGCCGCAAGAAGGTCCTCCATGGTGCATGTGGCAGGGCTCAGGGTGCATTGCAGCAGGTGGTCAGTGGTTTGTTCTTCTCCGCACTCGCATGCCAAGGATTCCACCCTGTAGCCCCATTTCTTAAGATGGCTCTGCATCTCGTGGTGCCAGAGCGCAGTCTGTTCAGCGCCTTCCAAGTCGCCCAGTCTTCTGTGTGCCCAGGGGGGAGTCTCTCATCTGGTATCACCCACGGATTGAGGTGCTGGGTTTGAGCCTGCCACTTTTGGACTCTCGCTTGCTGGGGTGTTCCAGCGAGTGTCTCTGTAGATCTAAGAAAACTATTTCTTGATTTAAGTCGTTGACGTGCTGGCTGATACCCAAACAGGGGATGAGCTGGAGATGTCTCTGCCTTGGTGCTTTCACTCTTGGCTGCTACTTCCCGGCGGATGTCAGGTGGTGCAATACCGGCTAAGCAGTGTAATTTCCCCAGTGGTGTGGGGTGCAGACACCCCGTGATAATGCGGCATGTCTCATTAAGAGCCACATCCACTGTTTTAGTGTGGTGAGATGTGTTCCACACTGGGCATGCATACTCAGCAGCAGAGTAGCACAGCGCAAGGGCAGATGTCTTCACTGTGTCTGGTTGTGATCCCCAGGTTGTGCCAGTCAGCTTTCGTATGATATTGTTTCTAGCACCCACTTTTTGCTTGATGTTCAGGCAGTGCTTCTTGTAGGTCAGAGCACGGTCCAGAGTGAATCCCAGGTATTTGGGTGTGTTGCAATGCTCCAGTGGGATTCCTTCCCAGGTAATCCTCAGAGCTCGGGATGCTTGTCTGTTCTTAAGGTGAAAGGCGCATGTCTGTGTTTTAGATGGATTAGGGATCAGTTGGTTTTCCCTGTAATAGGCAGTAAGAGCACCTAGAGCTTCGGAGAGCTTCTTTTCAACCATCTCAAAGCTCCCTGCTTGAGTGGTAATGGCACGATTTTCTGCCTTGATATTCTGGGATATAGGGCTGTGTGGAAGGGCCCTAACTGAATACATGGCACTCCTTTATGTGGAAGTAGGAAAATTCTAAAACTTGTTGGCTATTGTTGCCTTCCTATTGGAATGTTACTTTCAATAGCAAGTATTTGCATAGGTTACGTTGGTCATAGCAAGGCTTATATATCTAATAATGTGTTGATTGCTTATGCTAAGCTATGCAAATCAGTCAAAGCTCTCTAGACCATAACATATCTGTTCATATGTGCCAAGCACATGCATATTAAAGTACTGCATAACCACCGTTTTGTTTTAAACCAACATAAATGGGCTATTAAAAATAATTCATTCCCGACGCTTGATTTTCTTTCAACTTTTTTGTTTGGCTGAACATAGTACAATAATACTTAGCTGTCTTCAGCATTACGCTCCTTTATAAGCATTAGCTAATTAACCAACAGCTGGCATTTGTTTTTAAAAAAACACATACGTGGACAAAACGCAAAAAACACTAAATCGGTACAAATTTTTTAATGCAGGACGGATAAATGGCATTCTTTATTGAAAAGTAATCTTGTGAGATGTGTTGGTTTACTGCTCATAAAATCTTCCTGTGCAGGACGGCAGTTTTCGCTGCTTATTATAATTAGACTTCACTACTATTGATGAAGAATCCATTTAATAAGAAACACTGTAATTCAAAGGGTTTCCCTGGGGACTTAGCAAATGCTAACCTCTTAATTTAATTTTGTTGAAGTTTTGCCCATCTATTCATCAGCAGAAATTGTTATTAACCTTCATTTGCATCTGTCTTTCAACAGTGCCCCTACTTCGCGTTACTTTTTCCAAAGCCAACGGACTTGTAAATCTCTCAGATTTACAAACCACGTCCTGAGAAATTGTTTAATCTACCCAGTGACCTTAATGTAGGAAATTCGGTTTAATCTCCTTCCATAATCTAGTAATGCCACAAAAACCTCGCTAACAATGGCATAAAGTGCCTACTTCAAATAAGACTTACGATAATGAAAAAATATGTCACCATCATAATAAGGTGTGCTGATGGAATTTTCTTGGCGATGGGTTTTCTCAAAGACTCTTCCAGGAAACAGAAGCATCCGAAGAGGATGGAAATGTCGAGGATGTCGCACTAAATGCATCCTCAGTGGGTTAGATCCAGAAGTCATCTTGCTGAGAGTAGACCCTTTGAATTCAGTGGTATTATTATTATTATTATTATTATTATTATTATTATCTTTATTTATACCCCGCTAAAATCTCCCGAAGGACTCAATGCGGCTTACAAAGGCCAAGGCCACCACCAACAATAGCCTACAAATACAACAGTAAAACTCATAAAGCAAATAATAAAACATCAAGCAAAACAATAAAACACTAAAAACAATGACACCATGATGCATTTAAAACCTAAGGCCGGGCCAAATGTAATGGACAAAATTTAAAAAGTGCTGGACATGACAGGTGAAATGTAGAGGTTTTGGAGGTAGGTGCGGTGTGCAGACAATCCTAAATCTCTAACAAAGTGCATTTGGGACATGATGCTAGAAGTTTCCTATTCTGGAAAGGCACACTGGAACAACCAAGTCTTCAGGTTTTTCCTAAAGATTGCCAACATTGGGGCTTGTCTGATGTCCTTGGGGAGAGAGTTCCAGAGTCAGGGGGCCACCACAGAGAAGGTCCTGTCCCTCGTCCCCACCAAACGCGCTTGCGATGCAGGTGGGATTGTGAGCAGGGCCTCTCCAGATGATTGAAGGGATCGTTTGGGTTCATATATGGAGATGCGGTCCTTCGTCCTTCTATCAATTTCATTCATGTCCTGCATTTCTTCCATGAGTAGACTTCAAGACAACTTATAATTCAACAGTGTATGTACAATTAAAGAAGAGAATTAACAGATTTTTATAAAAACAAATCAAAGTAGGTAGGTTAAAGGTAAAGGTTTTCACTTGACATTAAGTCCAGACGTGTTCAAGTCTGGGGTTGGTGCGAAAAGCCAGCATTGTCCATAGACACCTCCAAGGTCATGTGTACGTCCTGATGCGGTTTGAGGGAGAATGGACAATGGGATTTGCAGTACTTTCAAATGCTTTGGTTCCCACAGACTACTGTGGCCCCCACCAATGACAGTTCAAGACCAAACTTGGCACACAGATCCCACAGGGCTCATTCTACATCCTGGTGAAGTTTGAAAGAGGACAAACCATGAATGTGGGGACTTCCAGTACCTTCACTCACATCCTGAGACCACTGCGACCCTCATCCAATGACCGAGCCCCCATGACCCACTCTACATCCTGGTACTGTTTGAAGGAGGGTGGACCATGGATGATGGGACTTGCAGTACTTTCACTCACTTCCTGAGATCATTGCAACCCACACCAATGACTGATCAAGAGCAAACTTGGCACGAGAGCAAACCTTAGTTCATTCTTCTTATTGTGACTGCTGTTATTGCTCAAATTGTTATACCAAAATGATTTACTTCTGCATCTTTATTTTTATTAGTCTAATCATATTGCTACTGAGACATTAGATTGATGAATGCTTCCAGTGTAACCCATATCTAATCTTACTTATTTCAGGTGCCATTCACAACTTGCAGACCGTTTACCAGAAGGTGAGAAGCCAGAATGCCATCCTTACTGGGAAGACGATGACGCTAGCATGCCGCTACCATTCAACTTAGAGGTTATAATTGCTGAGCTCCAGAATCTGTTGGAAAGCTAGAATTGTGTTCATCATGTTGTTGTTTATTTGTTCAGTGCTTCCGACTCTTCATGACCGCATGGACCAGCCCATGCCAAAGCTCCCTGTTGGCCGTGTCCACCCCAGCTCCTTCAAGGTCAAGCCAGTCACTTCAAGGATACCATCCAGCCATCTTGCCCTTGGTTGGCCTCTCTTCCTTTTTTCCTTCCATTTTCCCCAGCATCATTCTCTTCTCCAAGCTTTCCAGACTTCTCATTATGTGGCCAAAGTACTTCATCTTTGCCTCTAATATTGTTCCCTCCATCATAAACTAGCCAAATTTTCAATGGCAGATTTTTGTATGATGGTTGAATGAAAAGTAATGCCTCCACCTTTGTTACTTGGGTTTGGGTGGGAATATTTTAATAAATCAAATGCAGAAATAATCCTTAGAATGAGCTCTTTAACTATCACTATTCACTTTTCCACATAATCACCAGACAATTGGATACATTTCTGCCAATGATGAACAAGTTTTCTGAAGACGTCAAAGAAGAAGTCGACACTCTGTTTCCTCAACTAGCTTCTCCCAGTTCTCTCAACGTCTTCATCAGAAGCATAATGATGTCCCCGCAGATCTTCTTTCATTGTCGGGAACAGACAGTGCTAAATTTGAACTGTATGGAGGATGCTGTATGGTGATGAGATCAGTCTCTGAAGTTCTGCTGTGGTGGCATGTGAACTGTGTGATCTGGCATTGTTATGCTGCAGGATTTTTTTTCCTTTTCTTTTTGGACCCTTGTTAGCTATTGTTTCAAAGTTTGCAGCGTTGTGATGTAACGCTCTGAATGTATTGTTGTTCCACATTCAAGGAAATCAACATGAATAATACCACCTGCATCCCAGAACACTGTTACCATGATTTTTCCAGCTGAGGGTTGTGTCTTGAATTTCTTTTTCAGGGGTGAGTCTTTGTGTTGATTTTTCCATAGACTGACGCTTCGTCTACGGATCGTAATGGTGTACACACATTTCGTCTCCTGTCAGAATTGAATGGGGAAAGGCACCACCTTCATTCTCGTAACGCGAAAGGAGTTCCTGGCAAATTTCATGTCTGTGCACTTTCATTTCAGGCATCAACATCCTGGGTACCCATTGTGCACAGATCTTCCAATAGCCAAACAAAGCAATAATGTGACCTACATGTTCTTGTGAAATGCCGATTATGCTTGAAATTTCTCTCTGAGTGATACGACGATCGTCATGAATCAATCTGACAACCTTTGGCTTGTGAATAAGTTTGTTATTGCATCTTTATCCTCTTTTTTCAATTGTTTATTATTATATAATGATAATACAGTTATACTAGAACTTCTTTCTATTTTAATGTTCATTGTATCCTCTATTTCTCTAAATACTTTCCCCCAAAAATTATTTACATATTTACATTGCCACCACATATGTATATATGTTCCTGATTCTTGGCATCCTCTCCAGCAATTTTTTTAGTAGTTTGTGAAACTCAGTGGTTGCTGTCACAGGACGTCCAACTCTTTGTTTGTCACGCAAGTCAGATGTTCCCACCTCACGTTGTTTAAGTCGCATTGACCAACCGTCTGTGCAGGGTTCCATACTTTGGACTTTAACAATACAACCGTTCAATACTAAGGCTTCCCACCAAAATGGAACTGTAGAGGAGAGTCTACTGAACAATCCAGTACCTGCTGCATACCAGTACTGCCATCTGTTGAGTTACGAAGGTGGAGGCATTACTTCTCATTCAACCCTCGTAGATTGGATTCCTGATTGGTTGGGCCTCATTGCCCAGCATCCACTATTGGGCAAGGTTGCCCAGTCAAATATGCATTCTTTCCATTAATTTCATGAGAACTTTGACATATCTTCATTTTCCGGTACAGTTCTCAAATATATCCACCATGTACAGATCCATAAAAAAACAACTCATCTGCAAATGAGATGTTTTATAGTTTCTACAAATTTTCTATTAGAATTCTAAACCAAACTATTCAAATGATAACTGATTTTGAAATTTATAGGCCAACCTCACAAGCTGTGAGGAACGAAGGAACTTGTGCTGTTTTAAGATTTTGCAGGAACTGGAAATCTCATCAGAGTGATTTTGACACTATTCCCATCTCCGGGTAACCTTGGAGCACCTCTTTAAAATTCCATAAAGCATAGCTCAGGTTTTCTGTGTCTCTTTTATTCCCCTTATGATGAAAGTGGGGAAAAAATAAAGAGAAGGATAAACATATAATAGTGTGTTTTGTATCCCCTTTGTTCATTATGTGTCAACGGCTTAGAATGCAGCCACAGGAAAACACATTATTGGTGGATATTTCAAATGGAACTGTAGAGGAGAGTCTACTGAACAAGCCAGTACCTGCCAAATACCAGTACTGCCATCTGTTGAGGAGTTACGAAGGTGGAGGCATTACTTTTCATTCAACCCTCGTATTGTTTTCTCAAATGTAGATCTCTCTAGTCATGCCAGTGGAGTCGTGAATTTGTTCTAAGTTTTGGTCTGAATATTAAAGAAGATAAACCTATTTGAGAACTAGAATTCAGTACAGATATCACAGATTAGATCTGGAGAGGAGTTACTACTCTAGTGTTATGAAAAGTGCCAGCTTCATTGTCTCTTTTTTACAAAAACATTAGATTAACTATTTGTGGTAGAATGCCAAGTTTGCAAACTTTGCATTTAAAAAAATACAATTCAACTGTTTGGTTCGCTCCTGACATGATAAACTATTTGTGGTGGTATAATTAAGGATGTAACCAGAAAATCACATCATAGGTAAAAGAACATGAAAGCAACATTACTTGTGGTTTGTTTTGAAGTTGGGAAAGCAGACAATGCCACGCTGTTTCAGATGGTCTGTGCAAAATAAAGGATCGTGTACAAACTGTTCTACTGTGAATGTTTTCACTTTTTTCCCCCTAACAATGAACAAAGGAGCCCTGAATTTCAGAAGAATGCTATGTATTACTTGGGGCAAGCAGCAAAGTTGCCTTTGGCTGGGATCCTGTTGGTTGGTCTCAACTCAAAAAGAAACCACTGAATCAAATTATTAAATAATTAGTATGTAGCTGGGAGACCACCAATGAATACCAGGTGCTGCTGGCTACATTTCAGAGGAAGGAAGTGGCAAAACTACCTCTGAGTATTCCTTGCCTGAGAAAACCCCATGAAATTCACGAGGTTGCCATAAGTTGAAAGGTGAGTTGAAGGCACGTACGCGGAGAAGTCAATATTTATTTATTTAGAGTATTTCTAAGCTTGTCTTCAGCCAAAAAAGGCTCCCAACATGGCTTACAAATTGCTGGTTTGACAGTTCCCTGCCTTGAAGCTTACAGTCTCAATAATACCACACTCAACAGGGTGGAAGTTGGGAAGAGAATTAAGTTCAATAGTTGCTGGCTGCTCTTCTCTCCCTCCAAGGCCAGGGCAGTGACAGTCGGGATGGAGGAAGGGTCTTTCATCAACTGCTGTGGCCAAGACACAATGAAGATGTGCTTGTCTGTTCTTCTCTCTCTAACAGTCCAGAGCTTACTTGCTTATTTACTTAGACAATTCCTTGTAGCTCGAGGATGATTGTCTTCCAGATATGGTGTCTTGGTGGTGGGTCTGTAGGTGGCTGTGGAGTCCTATTCTTGATCCGCATGTTCTCCCACAGTGAGGACATCGGTTTCCAGATGGAAGGTGGTCTTGGTCAGGGTTGGCTTGAGGTGCCTTGCTCTTGGCACGTTTCTCCCTTTCACCTTCCATTCGTTCTGCAGCACTGTTGGTCACAGCTGACCACCAGTTAGAGCGCTCAAGGACCAGGGTTTCCCAGTTCTCTTTTAGTGTCTATGCCACAATTTTTGAGGTTGGCTTTAAGCCCATGTTTAAATCTCTCTTCCTGTCCACCAACATTTCCTTTTCCGTTTTTGAGTTCGGAATAGACTAAGTGCTTTGGGAAATGGTGATCGGACATTTATCTTCCAAGCCCAGGGCAACGGCAGTTGGGATGGAGAAAGGGCTCATCATCAGCTGTTGGAGCAAAAATGTGACTGAGCTATGGTTGCCTGTTCCTTTCTCCCTCCGAGGCCAAGGCAATGGCAGTCAGAAAGGAGAAAAGGCCCTTTATCAGCTACCTGGGCCAAGTTATGATAGAGCTATGCTTACCTGTTCTTCTGTCCCTCCAAAGCCAAGTCAATGGCAGTTGGAATGGAGTAAGGGCCTTTCATTAGCTGCTAAGCATGACAGAGCTAGTATACATACTTGTTCTTCTCTCCCTCAAAGGCCACAACACATATGAGTTCTCAGTATGGATATTTTCAATACCTTACTCTCTACAATGCAAGAAATGTGGGAAGTGAAGGCAAATGTCATAGAGGTGGAGGTCCTCTTTGGGTGGGCAATGCCCTCATTTTGCCCCCTATGGGGAGTATTACCTTCTGTTTTCCGATTGGATCCTTATAGACAGGGAGCTCTGGCGTGGGCTGGTCCATGAGGTCACGAAGAGTCGGAGACGACTGAACGAATGAACAACAAAGAGGTCATTACTTCCACACTCTACTAGCAGCAGCGGGGAAACAACCAACAGGGCAGTAGCAATGGTGGAATTTGCTTGCTGTCTGGACCCCATTAGGAAATTCCAATAGAAAGCTTAAGATGTTGGATTTAATATGTTCGGTTGCACTTTTGGAGACTGGAGCCTTTGAACCCTTACATTGTTGTGTGCCTTCAACTTAAGGTGAACCTATCACAAGTGTTTCTTGGCAAGATGTGTTTGATAGAGGTTTGCCTTTGCTTTCAAATGAGGCTGAGGGCCTCTCCACGAAAGTCAACATTGACACTGAAATACAACACCGCCTGATCTCTGCAAGTGCAGCATTTTTCCAAATGAAGCACAGAGTGTTTCAGGACCGGGACATCCGTAGGGATACCAAGGTGCTTGTTTATAAAGCCATTGTCCTCCCAACCCTGATACATGCCTGCGAGATGTGGACTATGTACAGACGTCACATGCAACTCCTGGAACAATTACATCAGCGTTGCCTCCGAAAAATTCTGCAAATTTCTTGGGAAGACAAGCAGACAAATATCAGTGTGTTGGAAGAAGCAAAGACCTAACCAGCATTGAAGCAATAATACTAAAAATACTAAAAAATATGTCTATCAGAATTAAAGAAAATTACTACAAAATGATATTTAACCCCTATTAGATTAAATCAGATTGATAAAAAAAGTATTCAAATCAGTGTTGGAGAGGTTGTCAGGAAATAGGGACGTATCTTCATATGTGGTGGTCATGTTACATTATACAAAAATTTTGGGAAAGCATATTCAAAGAAATAAGAGCAATAATAAAAATAGTGACTGAGATTACACCAAAATTAGCTTTATTACTTATACATGATAATATAATTCCCATACAAGAGGAGAAAGAATTGGTTTCTAATTTGATAATAGCAGCTAAATTGTTAATAGCAAAAAATTGGAAGGAAAAAAATTCAATTAGAAGAATGGTATAGGGAAATTTGGAATACAGCAATTAATGATAAGCTAACTTGCAATATTAAAATTAAAAGGGGAATATGTAAGCAAACAGACTTTTGGAAAATATGGGGAAAATTTATCGAATATGTGTTTAATGAGGGAAAGGGGTATAAGCCAGCAAGAGAAAAAATGATATTTTGGAATGGTGAAACAACATGAGTTGGTTGGTCCTGGTGGAGGGGGCACAAACTAAGGGTAAGGGGAAGAGGGGGAAAATGGTATAATAATAATTATAAAGAAATACAATATGTACAACTGGATAAAAGGTGCGTGATAACGTTATATGTAGCACAAGTTGTAATGGAAATTTAAAAATAATGATAAGAAATATGATCAAAGAAGTTTTTGATGTTTATTTACTGTTAGGTTGTATATAATATGAAAAAAAATGAAATCGAAAAAAAAGAAGAAGCAATAATCCTCCATCATCAACTTCACTGGACCGGCCACGTTGTCCGGATACCCAATCACTGTCTCCCAAAGCAGTTGCTCTACTCCGAACTGGAAAAAGTAATGTTGGTGGGCAGGAAAAGAGATCGAAAGATGGGCTCAAAGCCAACCTTAAAAACTCTGGCATAGACACTGAGAACTGGAAAGCCCTGGTCCTTGAGCACTCCAGTTGGAGGTCAGCTGTGACCAGCAGTGCTGTAGAATTTGAAGAGGCACGAATGGAGGGCAAAAGAGAGAAACATACCAAAAGGAAGGTGCATCAAGCCAACCCTAACCAGGACCACCTTCCACCTGGAAAGCAATGCCCACTACAGGAAAACATGCAGATCAAGAATAGGGCTCCATATTCACCTACAGACCCACCGACAGGACACTACACTTGGAGGACAATAATCTTTGGACTACAAGGGATCTCCTAAGTAAGTAAGTAAGTGAGGGCCCTTCCACACAGCCCTACATCCCAGAATATCAAGACAGAAAATTCCACAATAGCTGCTTTGAACTGGGTTATCTGAGTCCACACTCAGATAATGTGGGATTTCCTTCCTTGATATTCTGGGATATAGGGCTGTGTGAAAGGGTCCTGAGAAAGTGTGAGTCGACCAAGGTCACTCAGTGGATTTCAAGTGATGAGCAAGAATCGGAATCCCGGTCTCCAAAGTCCCGGTACAATACTCAAACCACGGCACCACTCTGGCTTGCTGCATCTCCATACTGTTAATCCTTTAGCAGTTTTTAGAGGCTATATTTTTTCAAAACACAGTTGCTACTGCTTGCCTTTAAATCATTTTGCAGTATATTGTGGTTACATTTTGGAGATCATAAGAAGAACCCACAAGAAGGATGAGAGAGCTCCTGCAATGGCAAGCAGAATCTTTACAAAACAACTGCCACTCAAACAAAACATCACAACTTGAAAGAAACTGAAGTGGCAACATGAAGAACAAAGCAGCTCTGTGTCTTTTTTTAAATGTTGATATATGATTAATTTCTGTTTTAATTAGGCATTGTTGGAAGCTGTTCCGTTTTCTCAGTGGCAAAATCCACTTGTCACCCTTAAAGGGAAGAGACCAGCACAACATCAGTGACATGTGTATGAAAGTAGAAAGCCTTCTCTAAGGAAGAAAGGAAAATGGTCTCACTATTGATTATTATTTCCCTACAGTACTTGAATCCATTTGCATTACGAAACCGGCCACGGATTATAATAGAGTTTTTGTTAAAACAAAGACATCCCTTGTTAACATTAGAATTGGGCTTTAACATTTGTGGATTTGATTCACTGGCCAACACACATTGTTTTGTGTTGGGATGTTTTCGTTCAGTCATTCCGACTCTTCGTGACCTCATGGACCAGCCCACGCCAGAACTCCCTGTTGGCCATCACCACCCCCAGCTCCTTCAAGGTCAAGCCAGTCCCTTCAAGGATATTATCCATCCATCTTGCCCTTGGTCGGCCCCTCTTCCTTTTTCCTTCCATTTCCCCCAGCATCATTCTCTTCTCCAAGCTTTCCCGTCTTCTCATTATGTGGCCAAAGAACTTTTAGTGCCTCAAATATTAGACCTGTTTCTGGGTATATTTGACCTGCTGGTTCCAGTTTCCCCTTAACATTTCTAATTTTTGAGATACACACCATATGCCATCTACTAGTCACCATCTGCTTGCCCATAGAAAATCATGATAACCATGTCTAAGAAACTAGAGTTGATGCAGTCTATTGAATCATAGAGTTGGAAGAGACTTCGTGGGCCATCCAGTCCATCCCCATTCTGCCAAGAAGCAGGAAAAGCCCATTCAAAGCATCCCCAACAGATGGCCATCCAGCCTCTGTTTAAAAGCCTCCAAAGAAGGAGCCTCCACCACACTCCCGGGCAGAGAGTTCCACTGCTGAACAGCTCTCTCTATTCATGTTCAG